CAAAGGTGCGCCCCAATGACGCCCACAGGCGAATAACCTCTCCAAAGGTGCGCCCCAATGAGGCGCACGGGCGAATAACCTTTCCAAAGGTGCGCCCCAATGAGGCCCACGGGCGAATAACCTCTCCAAATTTGCGCCCCAACGAGGCCCACGGGCGAATAACCTCTCCAAAGGTGCGCCCCAATGAGGCCCACTGGCGAATAACCTCTCCAAAGGTGCGCCCCAATGAGGCCCGGGCGAATAACCTCTCCAAAGGTGCGCCCCAATGAGGCCACGTTCAAATAACCTCTACAAAGGTGCGTCCCAGTGAGTCCCATGGGCTAATAACCTCTCCAAAGGTGCGCCCCAATGAGGCCCACGTGCGAATAAGCTCTCCAAAGGTGCGCCCCAATGAGGCCCACGGGCGAATAACCTCTCCAAAGGTGCGCCCCAATGAGGCCCACGGGCGAATAACCTCTCCAATGGTGTGCCCCACTGAGGCCCACGGGCGAATAACCTCTCCAAAGGTGCGCCCCGACGAGGCCCACGGGCGAATAACCTCTCCAAAGGTGCGCCCCAACGAGGCCCACGGGCGAATAACCTCTCCAAAAGTACGCCTCAGTGAGGCCCACGAGCGAATAAACTCTCCGAAGGTGCGCTCCAATGAGGCCCACGGGCGAGTAACCTCTCCAAGGGTGCGCCCCAGTGAGGCCCACGTGCGAATAACCTCTCCAAAGGTGCACCCCAGTGAGGCCCACATGCGAATAACCTCTCCAAAGGTGCGCCCCAGTGAGGCCCACGGGGAAATAACCTCTCCAAAGTTGCGCCCCAATGAGGCCCACTGGCGAATCACCTTTCCAAAGGTGCGCCCCAATGAGGCCCACGGGCAAATAACCTCTGCAAAGGTGCGCTCCAATGAGGCCCACGGGCGAATAACCTTTCCAAAGGTGCGCCCCAATGAGGCCCCGGGCTAAAAACCTCTCCAAAGGTGTGCCCCAATGAGGCCCACGTGCAAATAACCTCTCCAAAGGTGCGCCCCAATGAGTCCCACGGGCTAATAACCTCTCCAAAGGTGCGCCCCAATGAGGCCCACATGTGAAGAACCTTTCCAAAGGTGCGCCCCAGTGAGGCCCTCGGGCGAATAACCTCTCCAAAGGTGCGCCCCAATGAGGCCCGCATGTACCAGCCGGCCTACTTCAACGACGGGACCGGCCGGATGTGCAAGCTGCTGAAGAGCCTCTACGGGCTAAAGCAGTCACCGCTGTTGTGGTACAAGGCTCTCAACGACGTGCTGGTCGGCGTCGGCTAGAAGAAGAGACAGGTCGACACGGCACTCTACTTCAAGGTCAGCGACGACAAGGTGGCCTGCTGGGTGCTGGTCTACGTCGACAATCTGCTCGCCGCCAACAGTAGTGCCGCGATGCTGAAGGAGCTGAAGGAACTGCTGGAGGCCGCCTTTGAGCTGCGTGAGATATCGCCGTTGCAGAAGTACCTCGGGGTGGAGATCGTGCGCGACAGGCCGGCGAGGAAGCTGTGGTTGCACCAGCAGGGCTACACCGACAAGCTGCGTAGGCGGTTTCTCAACGAGGAGCAGACCGGGCGCACCCCTAAGACGCCGGTCTCGGTCGACACCTACGCCGAGCTCACCTTGGATGACGAGGAGGCACAGGAGCGCCAGGAGGAGGAGCACCGGAAGAAGGTCGGCTCGCTGCACTTTGTGGCGACAACGACGAGGCCGGACATCGTCTTCGCCTGCAGCAGGCTGGGTAGCGGTCTCATGGTGAGGAGCGACCAGCACTGGCCCGAGGTCGACCGCTGCCTCGTCTACCTCGCCATCACGCGTGACACCGCCCTGGAGTTCGGCGGTGGACCAGAGTCGCTGAAGCTGGACGGCTACGTGAACGCCTACGACGCCGGCGACAAGCAGAATCGGACGAGCACGGGAGGCTACGTGTTCGTCTACGGAGGAGCCGCGGTCTCCTGGTTGAGCCAGTGCATCAAGTGCGCGACGCTGTCATTGACCGAGTCGGAGTACGTGGCGGCCACTGAAGCCGGCAAGGAGGGATGACGCCTTCGCTTCCTCCTTGCAGAGTTCCGACAGCTGGACGCCGGGACGCCGACGGTCCTTCGTGTGGACAACAAGTCGGCCATCACAGTCGCCGAGGGCATGGGGTTGACGGGCAACCTCAAGCACATGGAGCGGCGACAGGCCTGGCTGCAGCACATGGTGAAGCGCGGAAAGTTTTCGCTAAAAAACATTCCGACTGTTGAGCAGCCGGTCGACTTCCTGACGAAGGCGCTGCACTATCCGGCCTTCAACCGGTGCTCCATTGCAATCGGCCAAGTGCGCACGTGGGCGACGGCGGCAACGACGTGCAGCAGTAGGTGCCATGCCCTCTTGCATGGCTGGTGCGGTGACCGACGTGCTGTGTGTTGGGTGCACGTCGACGAGCTATTCTCTGAGAGGTCCTGTCGTGTGGGCTGGGGCCCAAGCGTGAACACGGCAAGGGAGTGTCAACGGGAGTTGTGTTAGGCCACGTCCTCGCTTGGGCGGAGCCGACCTCATGGTCGGGTGTGTGGGGGAGTGCAGCCGACCTGCAGCAGTGGGCTAGCTGGTCGACGAGGAGGTCGACCTGCACGGGGGCCACTGCGAAGGGCGCCGACTTCTGGGCGCCGAGTTCTAGTGGTCGACGAAGGGGGCGCCGACGTCGACCTGATTAGGGGAGCTGGGCGCCGAGCAAGATGGCGCTGGGCCAGTGGGTCAACCTGGGAGGACGCCGGGCGTCGACCAGCTGGAGCCGACATTGGGGACGCCGGTCACGGGTAGTCGGCGACGGACTGAGCTGGTCGACCAGGCGAGGTTGCCCGGTCGACCGGGATACCCGGGCGATGTGTGCGAAGTTCGTCGGGGTGGTTTTTGCGAGGCCGACCTCGGAAGTGGTATCCCGAGGTCGACGTGGCTGGTGGGCGCTGTCGTTGGCGTGGAGTCTGCCAGGCGTCTGCGCTGTGCTCGTGACAAGACGTGGAGCTCCAACCTGTTGCACGCACCTGCGAAGCAGGTGCACCGTTGTTCTGCGGGTGCAACGCTCTGCAGCAGACTTGCTGCAGGTTGGCACACCGTGGACTTGCAACGTTGGCAAGCCGCGACTTTGTTCTGCTGGAGCGCGGTCGACCAAGTCATGCTGGCACGCGGCCGGCCGTGCTGTGCTGGAAGTCGACCAGCAACTTTGCTAATTCCGATGTAGTTTTGTATGCCAATGTTGTTGCTATGATTGTTCTCAACTTCTGCTAGAAAAACTCTTGCGGTTTTGCCCAGTGAAAGCACAAGTGCTAGAGAACGACTAAAGGAATGAACTCAAAGATCCCTCCTACCCCGTGCCTAGCCCGTAGTCTAGCTCCCGTTGATAGAGTTATCTCCGCATGGTGAGGTGAGCGTGGACGGCACACGACTTACTTTTCAGCCAGGTCGACGTAGTTGTCACTTATCTAATTCGTGTTCGTAGGTCATTAGCTGTGCAGTAGTCACTATGGTAGGCGCCGTAGGTGACACAGATATGGTGGACACCCTGGAAGCACAACTGGAGGACGCGAGGAGACGCCATGAGGCCAACGAATACGGGCCAAACCTACCGTTGGCGGTCATCGAGGCAGGCATCTGCTCAGTGTGGGCAGAGGAGCACCCTGCTCGACCAGCCTCTCCTCGACCGGTGAACAAGGCTCTAGAAGTCAGAGAAATTTCTCTGATTTGCCTAAAAAGGTATGATATTTCAGCCTTCTTTTTAATTGACTCTTAGAGTTTTTTTTTTTTTTTTTATGTAGGCCTTATCTGATTTTTCAGCCTTTTTCTCAGATTGTACTCTGATCCAGGAGCGTTTTAGCTGGTACCTACTCTGGTAGTCCTGTGCGAAATTTGCACTAACAGTTGCGATGAGTGCTGCAAGTACAGTTCAGTCCTGTCAGTCAAGCTGAAACAGTGACAGCAGTGTCGCGCGGCGCAATTTCCACCTCGTTTTAGGCTGATCCATCAGCTTCCCTACTGATGTGAACTCTGGGTAATCAGCAGGCCTCTCGTTATCAGGGTAAAATACCCTTTTTGCACTGATTGGCGGCCGCTTTTTTCAGTTACCCTTTCACAGGCAGGGTAATGGATTTCTTACCCTAGGCGAGAAAATGTAAGCTTTTCAATACCCTTGAAAAACAGCATAAGGAACACATTAATCTGACTGTACAGTGTACAATCCCAGCTATACCGGGACCGAGTGCTCCGTAGCGAGATGAAACACTATACAGGCCACTGCAAAGTGATCCCAACAGTGAGATTCGAACCTGCGCGCTTGCAGATCTAATGCGTAATCGAACCAGCTGAACCGCTAACCGTTGAACTTGAGTATTTTAGCATTCTCATATAGGATAGTTTTGTAAAATACCCTGCCTAAACAGACTAACTGTTTTTTTACCCTGCATTTGTAAGGGAAAAAAAAATACCCTATGCATCAAGGTTGACTATACCTAGAACCCTGATTACTAAGGGTGGCCCAAAACGAATCTGAAGCCCTGGTACGGTAATCAGACTTTTGTACTCTTGAACTCTGAAAATTCAGATTTTTTTTTTTTTTACCAAGTCTGATTGATCAGACTAAAAATGTGGACTAAGTCTGACAAATCAGACAGCCCCATAACGAATCTGAGGGCCTGCCGGTGAATGACGAAGGCGGCGTTGACGTGGGCGTCAACGCCGGTGGTGACCAAGTCGGCAGCAGTGCGGGAGGCACGTCGTCGTGGCAGCGAGATGTGATCACGCCGGTGAATTCGGCGGCGTTTAGGCGCGAGGGATGCGGTCGTCGGCGGCTGGAGGCGACGTCGGAGGTCGACCTAGCGGTTTGTCGCCGATGTCGGCGACCCATGTGACTGCGGAAGGAATCGCGCCGAGCTATGGTTACTTCAAGTTCACGCCGAACAGGATCTCGATCACCCCCTTGCTGGTCGGTCGACCCGACATTCAGCCCCTGACCGGCCGGCCTCTACTTCAGCCTCTCTGCGAAAGAGATGTCTACTATAGGGGGGATGGAGAAGGTGCGAGTCTCATGGTTGGGTGTGCAGCACCAGTCTTGAGAAAAGAACTGCCACGTGTACGCATCAAAAGCCTCTGCGTCCCTTTGGCCGACGAACCTGGGAGGTGCGAGGGAGCGAGGCGTGCAAGGGGAGAGAAGAGACAGGGGGAGGGAGAGTTGGAAAGGAAAGTGAACCTGGATGGTGTGGACTGTCTTGAGAGGTCAAGGAGACAGAGAGAGTGAGTGAGGTTGGTTGGTTGGCTGGAGGAGGAGTAAAAGGTGCGGAGAATGGACTGGTGTTAGAGAGGAAGCGGGGAGAACGTGGCTGGTGTTGTTGTGCATATGCAAGCCCCTTGGCAAGCATGCTTTGAGCTGACTCGGCTAGAAACACACCTGGAGAGCACGTGCGTGTGCTAGCGTGCACTGGAGAGCAGAGCACGTGTGCTTTGCAGGTGGGTAGCGTGTGTTGTGTCCATCTGCAAGCCCCTTCACAAGCTCGCATTGCCTTGCCACAACCTATCGCCAGCCCGCATCGCCCCCACAGCTAACCCCGTACTTGCATTGCTCCCACTGCACCCACACCCGCACTGACCTGCAGAAGGTGTCGTGGGGGTGCAGTAAGTGCAGCACACGCACTTCATGCACGTGCGGCTGCCCCAGCACGGCTAGCACCTCCTTGTCTGTGGCGTTCATTGGCAGCCGCAGCTCCCCGTATACTGACAGCGGGTCCGGTGGCTGCTGCTGCTGCTGCTGGTGCGGCATTAGGTGTTCTTGATGCTGCTGCTGCTGCTGGAGCTGGCGATGAGGTTGTTGGTTGTGGTGGTGCAGGGACGAGGCATCTGGGTAGTCTATGGACACATAGCGTCTGCACAGAAAGGAAGCACGAGGACGCACCAGAACAACAATGTGCGTAATGCGCATGGTGGTTCAGGTCAGGACAGGAAGAGCAGCAACAGAGCGCTCACTCAGATGAGTTACATTTCATGCACACTGCCACCACCGCCCCTTCCGCCTCCCTCCTACACACACAACATTAACAACACCCATACCCTTGTCCCCTCCCTCCCAACCCAGTCTGCCACTCCACCCTCCCCACCATCCAGCATTATCCCCCACCACCCTCCACCTCTCCCCACCACCCCTCCATCCCACCTTGACGCCTTGATTTCTTCACTGGTGCGCGGGTCTTCTAAAAACGACGCAGGCCGATACACCATGTCGGTGGCGTTGCTGCCCCAGTAGAGCGGCGAGATGAGGTAGTCCAGGGGGCACACGAACGGCGGGTCGCGGTCGCTGCCGGGCGCGCGGCACGGGTGCGACAGGGAGTCCCACCAGCGGTCGCAGAAGCAGGTGACGCGTGGGAGGATGAGCTTGCGGGAGAGGAGCCACGCCAGGGCGAAGGCCTTCTGTGCCACGTGCTGTGGGGAGGGGCGGAGGGGAGGGGTTGGGCGAGGACGGAGAGCGGGAGGACAGAGAGGGGGAGGGGTGGGGGAGTGGGAAGTGGGAAGTGGTGGGGGAATGCATGAGGATGTGGTGGTGGTTGTGGTTTAGGGATTTTGACAAAGGAAGAGTGCATAGCATCGTGTGAACGAGAAGATTTAGGCATAACATGGCAGGGCATGGGCATGGCATTGCACGGTACGGCACAGAACGGCATGACACCGCATGACACCGCATGGCAAGCATGGCAAGCATGGCATGGCATGGGGCGTACATACATAGAAGTGTTCCATGGCGGCCTGGTGTCTGAGCATGCCGGGCTCCATGGCATGGATCCATGGCGGTGTGCTGTACTCCATGCTCAGGTAGTTGCCCTCCTCGTAGTACCTGCATGCACGGCACATGCACACACACACATGCACATGCACATGCAGACGCACAAAGACACGCACATGCATAAGCACATGCACACACACATACACATACACATCAGCACACGCATGAAACACCAGGCATGGTTTAGATCACCAGTCCAGAATAACAAGCACATCCCCGTGCATCCATGCAGCCATGCCCTCCTTGACTGCCACTGCCGCAATAACGCCTCCTACGCCCATCCCCCATAGTAAACCCATACCACAGCCATCACCCCAAACCAGATGAAGCCCACACACAGGCTCCTCCCAGATAGCCCCAACTCATGCGAGAGGGTCCACTCCACAACCCACAGCCACTTCACACTCAGGATACAAGCTAGTGCAGCACATTCATCCCACCCACACCCACAGCCCTCTTCCCTCCCTAGCCACTCACTCGGGGGGGTCCACGGCCCACAGCCCAGCCTCTCGGAAGCGAGCAGCCTTGCCCAGCGCGTGGTGGAACTGGAACGTGTTGTGTACTGCCAGAGGGGGAGGCAGAGGCACGCGCACAGGCACAGGCACATGCTGCTGCTGCTGCTGCTGTAGTTCCTGCTGCAGTTGCGGCTGCGCCTGCCCCTCGGGACTTGCGTGCTGGTGCGGGGAGCCGTGCGGTTGTTGCACGAAGAACACGTGGCCGTTGGGCACGAGGGCGAGCGGCAGGATAGCCACGCGCAGCTGCCCGTTGAACGCTCAGATCACACGGTTGCTCGCCGCCACTGCTGCACTGCTCTCCACCGCACCGCTCTCTGCACTGTTTGTTGTGCTGTGTGCTGACCGCTGCTCCCCATGGTGGCGGGCCAGTGTGAGAGGGAAGAAGGGCGGGGTGGAGATGGGGAGGACGCCTTGCTGCTGAGAGCTCCCTGTGGTGGTGGCAGCAGCGGCAGTGGTGGGTTGGTGCAGGGGAGAGGTGACGACGCGGATGGGGAACATCTGGTAACGCAGCAGGTTGAACGCATGCTGGTCGCCCCACAGGCTCTCCCACCCCTCGCTCGCTCCCTTGGTCCTGGTGCCACGGCGGGCAGAGACGAGAGGTAAAGGGAGGATTGGTATGGAGAGGAGAGGTAAGGAGAGGAGGCAGTGGGGCTGAATGTGCAGCAAAAGGAAAGATGAATGTTCACAAGCACAAACAACAAGTGCATGGGTCCGGTAGCACATGTAGAGAGAGACATGCCCGACATGCCCAATGTGCCCAATATGGCTTCGTGAATATTTGACTGTGGGAGCGGACTCAGAGCAGAGGGGGAGCGGACAGACAGACCTCATGGCGTGGTGCCAGGCGAGGGCGAATTGCAGCATGTGGGGGCGTGCTCGCAGCAGCAGCACGCCCGTGTTGAATGCGTGCTCGTACGCGTTCCCAAACACCTCCTTGCCCCGCGCCGTCGCCCCCCGGTACCACGCCCCCTCCTCGCCCGTGTTGTTCAGTGGATCCACATGCAGGCTGGGGGGGGGGGAAGGGGGGGAGGGAGAAAGGAGGAGATGGGGAGAAGGCTGGAAGTGAGATAAGGAGGGGAATGGGGAGAAGAGGGAAAAAGGAGGAGGAGGAGGGGGAGAAAGCAGAAAAGCGGGAGAAAAGGGAGAAAGAGAAGGGGGAGAAAGGGGAGAACGGGGAAGAGGGGGAAGAGGGGGTCTGTGATGGGAGAGGGGTAGAGGAGAGGGGGTGTGATGGGAAGAGTGGGAGAAGGAAGCAGAGAGCAGAAAGAAGGGAAAGGAAGCAGAGGGGGAACGGGGAGCAAGGAGCAGGGATTCCAAGGTAAATCATTCCCACAAGCACCCACATGCCACCACCCATCGTACACTCCCATAACCCACCGCTCCCCACCCCACCGCTCCCATCCCCACTGCTCCCCACCACACAGCCTCCACACGGGCGCAGCAGCTCACCTGGCCTCGTCATTAGCATGCGAGAGCGAGTCAGAGGACACCATGACATCCGCATGGCGCATGGCCCCCAGGTACAGCTCGTTATAGGGGTCGCGCAGCCACACCACGTCTGTGTCCGACAGCACCACGTCGCGTGCGCGCTCTAGCAGCGCTGTAAGCAGCGCCGTCTTGCACACGCCCATGCGCTGGAACGTGCCCGCGTCCGCGCGGAAGTCGTCTGACGGGAGCCCCGTGCGCAGATGCACGTGCGGGATGCCGCGCTGCCTGCATAACTGGTGGCGGGCGAAGGTGAGGGGGCGATGGGGGAGAAGGCGGGAAGCGGGGAAGGGGGGAGACGGGGAGAATGGGGAAGGGGGGCAATGCGGAGAAGGGGGGAAGGGAGTAAGGAGAAAGGAAAGGGGGAGAGGAGAGTGGGGAAGGGGAAAGGATGGATGGAAAGGAGGGAATGGCGGAGCTCAAGCAGGGAGGAGGAAAAAAGGAAGTTGGGAAAGCTAGAATGAGGTTAGGGGAAGGGGGGTTGAGGGGAGCAAGAATGAGGGTGGGCGCGCATGTCAAGGAAGGAAGAGTGTTATCCTATGATAGCAGTCGCCACGTCATCGCATGATCGGCAAAAGCTGACACCTATCTTTAACGGAAACGCGCAACGCGCATGTACTACATGGTATAATATAACAGCTAAACGCGTGGAAACCTGGTTGTGCTTGAAGCGAAGCATCGGAAAATCGGTTCCTAAGAAAATGGTTCCCATTGCTAAGCGGTGAGCCTAAACGCACTGCGGTGCGGGAATCTGTGTGGATAGACAGCAGTGCCGGAGACCGCGACAGAGAGAAGTAGGCGGAAGGAAAGCGACGGCGAGGCTGCAAAAGACGGTGAATGCGACGGTTCGCGTCAAGAAGCTAGAGAAAGGAGACGACCGCTAGATTGGAAGAGATCGGGGGAAAGAAGATTCTTCCGAGCAAGATTAAAAAATGGGAGAACTGGAGGTTGGTAGGCCTGGAATAGGGGCAATCCCAAGGTTTTTCCCCGCCGGAACATTTTGTTGGGCCACAAACAAGTCACCCTTCCATGCCCCCGCAACTCGAAACCCTTTGGGGAAGAAAGCAAGCGTGCAGCACAACCTGGCGTACTTCACTGTAGTGAAGCGTCCGTTACTATGCACTTGTAGTAGAACTCGACACGTCAGCATGCATACAGTTACCTCCGTCGTACGTCGGTCTAGCGCTCGCACGAGAGCGTTACGGTAAAACGACAATGTGATTGAAGACGTAAAAAAAAAAAAAAAAAAGTTGTGAAGATGAAGAATTACCTCGGCGGTGCTTCGGTCCAGCGCGCCGACGAGAACGTTCGGGATGCTTGCGGTCTCCGACACGTGGAACCACCAGTTGAGCAGCATCGCGTGGAACGCGTCGTTCGCTAAATTCACCATCACGGGCCGCCGCATGTCCATGTGCGCAAGCGCCGCGTCCAGCTCGTCGCCAGGCACTATGCGCGCGCGCATCATGGGGTCCGCTTCCGCGTCCCATACGTCGCCATGCGACTCATCGTGCGATGAGTCATGCGAGGTTTCAAGCGACGCATTTTCGTGCGGCGTTGCATCGTGCGACCGCGACGAGTCCATTGATTTCAACGGGCCGCGCCGTCCATCGCCGTTCTGCTCCGCGCCATCCCTCAATTCCTCCGCATAATACGGTCTCGGAATCTCCGCACCCCCCTTGGCGCTTTCCTGCCCCTCTCGTATCCCCACCCCCCCTGCTGCGTTCACGGCCTCTCCGCGCGCCTCAAACGGCGCGCCTCCTGCTGACGTAGCGCTGATGTCGATCGTCGCGGCAGCCGCGGGGCGGGGAATGGGAGTCACCAGCGCGGCCGTCGCGGCATCGTCGTCGTCAATTGGTATCGCCTGTCGTCGCCACAACGCACCACCGCCACCTCCACCTCTCCCGCCGCTACCGCCGCCGACCATGGCAGTCCACCGGCTCTTCAGGTTCACACCCGCGGCTCGGAGTCGTGACGCCATCCACGTGCGGGTGCTCCCATCGCCACCGCCGCCGCCGGCGCCGCCGCCGCCGCCGCCGCCGCCGCTGAGGAGCCTCCGCAGTTCCCCCGTCGCTCCAGCAACAGCGCTGGAGAGTCGGTCGGAGGCTGCTCCCCCCGCTGCCGCCCAACGTGACGGCTGCGGGCGCGGCGGCACTAGATTCGCCTCTGCGCCGAACCTCGTCGCTGTTGCTGAGGCTGTAGCGCGATGCTCCCGCGGGGCGGGGAGAGGTATGGTGGCAGTACTAGCGGGGCGTGGGACGAAGGGACGGCGAAATTCGCCACGCGATGGCTCCTCGGGGGTTGCAGATTCCGCCGTCGCTGGCGCGGAATCCAAGTGTGCGCCAGCGCGGCAGCCGTGCGACGCTTTACAATCCGACGACTCGTGTGAATTCGTGAGAATGTTCCACAAGCGGAAATTTCGTCGCAGAACGACCCGTGGATGCTCCCCCGTCGCAATGCTGTCGCTGAGCTCCACAGTTGCTTCGTCGCCACCGCCGCCACCGAATGCGGAGGAGCGACTTGTTCTGCCGTGGCCGCAGCGCCACGTGATGCAGAAGGATCGGAGGACTGCGGTTGCCACGAGCAGCAGCAGCAGAGACAGAAACGCGCGCCGAGCCGCCGCTCTGGAGACAAAAGAGGAGGTCGGACGGAACCCCGCAAAACGCGGCGTCGTTTGCGGATTGCACGATCTTGGCGGTGACAGGGACGGGACCGTGAGGCTTGTCCCACTCCGATCAGTTAAGGGCGTGGGGTGTCGGGATTTGGGCGTTATGGTGCGTAGTCTTTCCGGCGATGGGCAGCATTTGGCGGAGAACCCGCCAAAAACGGGAGAGAGGAAGAAGAGAAGCGCATCGCGATTAGTTTCCCGCAACATCGTGGTATACCACGAGCTGTAATTTGAAGAATGGAAGAATTTATCCAGAAAAACAGTTAAACCCTGAGGTAGTGCGAGTACCGAAGACTCTCTCGAAACTTTCCGAACGCTGGAAAGAAAAAAAGGCCGAAAATTGCCCAACTCGAGACGGTAGTTTTTACATACCACACCAGGAACGCACGGTGAGGCACAGTTGCGCACAGAGTCGTGTTTCTAAGAGGTCTAGTGCAGAAATGCAAGTTGAGCGGCAAGTGATTACAGATTGCTGCTTGTTGTCGAGTGAGGGTGATTGATAGCGTATTGCTGCTGCGCCAGACTAGAGGTATGTTTGGGTGCACCAGTACGGATCCAGACGAGAGGAAATGAGCCGCCGCCAGCTGAATGAGGGGGTCAGGGGGGAGCAATGGGGAGAGAATGGGGGGAATATGCGCGCAGCCTTCAGGGTCGAGTTGAGAAGATGATAGGTCATCAGAGGTGGGGGGGGGGGAGAAAGACAAGTGCCGCTCGATGTGCCGCACGTGCGTGGGTTTGAGACAGCTGCCACACGGACTCTGATTCTCTGAAGTGGGTGCGGGGAAGGGAACGAGGGAAAACTCTGCCCCACCCGCAGAGAAGACAACCCGCCTATCATCCGGGGCGGATGGCTGTTTGGCGGCAACAAAGACACGAGCACGGGGGGAGAGTGAGAATATGTGCGCCAGTCCCGCTGGCTCCTGGGGGGAAGTGCAAGGTCGGGGATGGGGAAGAGGGCATTTTGGGGCCGCATTTTGGGCGACATGTGGGCGGGCGGATAAGTCCACCGGAAGGAAGAGCAAGGCGGATGAGGGGCCGTGCGGAAGCGACGAGATTCGTTACATGCAGGTTTGGGAACATGCTTGTCAGGATGAACAGATCTGGCTCGGTTCTGCCATGACAGGGAGGGGGATGAGGTGACGTGTGGTTTGGTGAGCTCTGGGGGCCCGAGGTGTTGGCTCGATGGGTTCTGCTGAACCAGTTGTGCGTGGCTCGGATAGGCTCGGGTTCGTGACGGGGCTCCGAGATTGACAAAGTCCATCCGCAGAAAACCAGGCGAGGGAGGGGAGGGAAAGGAGCGCAGAAACCCTGAAAGTCTGCTCCCCTCGGACATGAGAACGTTTCCGGAACATATGGCAATGGCAAAGAGCTGATAAGCACCTTTGAGCAACGGAAAAGTGCTACTGTGGCAGCGAGAATGATGCACTGTTTGTGGTTTGGTCTGGTCCCTCAGCAATCGCCGGGCGGCACGAGTGGAAGTTGGTGGTACACCCTTCTTCTCAAATTTCTCACCTTGCGCGACTCGTCGCTACCGTACTTGTCTCTTGCGATCTGGTGCCATTAAACGTTCCTAGCATCCTGGGGGGAAAAGCTGAACCACGTGACAAACTGGCTCAAGGGCGTAAATTTTCCGTAATTGCTGTATATCCTTCCCAACCAGCTAAAAACGTTGACGAAGCTGATTTTAAATTGCATCACCTCACCTGACCGCGTTCTTTGCGTTGTGACAAGACAGTTCTGAACGTGGTGACGTTTTACAACCCGTGTATGTTCTGCAACCAGACGCTCTACTAGCGCAAAAAAGAGTGTACCCCCACTTGCCCCCTGTGCTGTTTTATCTGCTGTCTCCGGTTGTGACATTCTTCACAAAAAAAGCGGGTGATTACGATTCACAAACAACGTTCTATATGTGTTATGAGTTGTAGATTGGGATCACATAACCATTATAATTTGGGCTTTGATTTTGTAGCTAAAGACGAATAGGACGTGTGATGCAACTATTGATTGCGCAAGAAACTGTTTCTTTTACAGGCGCTCTTGATTGGGTAAGAAGGGAACTCTTTCTCTTTAAAAAGATAAATGGACCAGAAATATAGCAGTTCATAGTATGTACATAGAATGACAGACTCACAGCGGTCTGCAACAGATTTGACATTAGAGATGCTTTTCGGGCGATTCATCCTTGCCTGAGGGAGTATACCTTCTACGCGGCGGCGGTGTAGGAGAGCACGAGGATAGACCGCATCATCGCCTCGCAGTCAATGCTGCATGTGGTCCATGAGGTGCGGCACGTGGGACTTGTCGAGCGGTTCACTGATCACTGGTCCGCAGTCCATATGAAGCTGAGCGCGGGGACGGATGGGGAAGCTGGCCCGGGCTTTTGGAGACTTCTGGCAGCCAGGGGTACAGAGGGGGATGTCACTGATAGCGCGGAGAAACGAGGAGAGGGGGGGTGATCTGGAGGCTCTTACGAACTCCCTCAAGGTCGGACTCAAGGCGTACATGGTGGAGGAAAGGAAGCGGGTAGCAGCCACAACGGCGCACCTGGAACGGGAGGTGGGGGAGCTGAGACAGAGAGTGATGAGCAGGCCACAGTGCACAAGAACGAAGCGAGACTGGCGAAATACGAGGCTACGCTCAAGGCGTATGAGGATGGGAGGCGTCAGAAAATGCAAGAGCAGGCGGGCATCAAGGTGGATGAACGGCGAGGCTCCCACCGGTTTCCTGTTTGGGAAAGTCAAGGTGAGGAAGGCGAAGACAAGGCTGGAGGCGGTGAACTTTTAGGGGAAGCAACACGCGGGGGCGAAGGAAGCTCTTAAAGCGGCATCAGAGTTTTACGCGGACCTATTTGCAGCTAAGGCAGGGCCAGGTGGCTTGCCGATGGACTTCAAACTAGATAAAAGTTTCTCACCGGAGGATGCAGCGGCGTTACGCGCATCATGGGATGAGGCGGAGATCAAGCGGGCGCTGGCGGAAATGGCATCTGGGAAGACTCTGGGAAGGGACGGTCTCCCGAAGGAGCTCTGGGAGTCACAGTGGGACCTCCTGGGCGGGCAGGTGATGAAGTTCTTGAAGGAGTTCGAACGGACGGCGGCGCTGCCGGCAGAGTTTTCGACAGTGGTGACGGTGCTTCTGCACAAAAAGGGGGACAAGGAAGATCTGCAGAATTATCGCTCGATCACCCTGCTAAGCACGGCATAGGAGCTTGTGGCGAAAATTCTGGCAAACATGATAAAGCATATGCTGGAGAAGGTAGTGCCTACGGGGCAGTTCGGATTTCTACCTGGACGTAGCCTGGTTGGTGCGGTGGCGATTACGGCGGATGCAATCGACGCGGCCAACTCCGAGGGAGAGGATTGGCTGCTTCTGCTGGTAGACTTCAGGAAGGCGTTCGATTCCATATCCAGGGGGTACCTGTTCGATGTGTTGAGGAGAATGGGGTTCCCGGACGAGTACGTGAAATGGGTTGAGGGCCTGCACCAGGGAGCAGCAACACGCATCTGCAATGACGGTTGGCTCGGGGACGAAGTGCCAGTACAGACCGAAGTGAGGCAAGGCTGCCCCCTCGCGCCGTACCTAATCCTTTGTGCAGTAGAACCTCTTTGTCAGGAAGCGCAAAGAAGGCAACTCGGTGTGGATATTACTGGGGCAGGGAAGCTGACGTACCTGGGCTACGCAGACGATACTACCTTTCTGCTGAAAGGGCGAGCGCAGCTGGACATGGCGGAGAAGCTGCTCTGTGACTTCGCGCGGGTGTCGGGGCTGGCGGCAAACTGTGACAAAACTGTGGTGATGCCACTGGGAAGGCAGCGGGATGAGCAGCCGCCACCGGTCTCTCTCTTAAAATGGGCAGCGCGGGATGAGCGTGAGCGCCTGCTGAGGGTTTGGATCACATCGGGAGGGGACGCAAAGCCATCGTGGAAAAAAGCAGTGCGGAGGATGGAGACGGAGCTAAAAAAATGGGAAGAGAAGTATCTTACTACGACAACGCGTGTAGCGGCGATCAATGCGTACGTCATGCCCATCGCACTTTTCCAGGCGAAGGTGTACCCCCCCCCCCGGACGCCATATGGGAGGAGCTTCGGAGGTTGTGTCACGCTTTTGTGTCTGGAGGAAGGGCGAGCGCGGGGCCCAGATTCATCCTGTGGAGCGCAGAGCTAATGCAGATGAGGAGGAGTGACGGGGGGCTGGGGTTAATCAACCTCCGAAACCGGCTCGATGCGGAGGCCCTCCACTCGGTGGGCGGGCTCCTGACTGAGGAGTCCTCCCTGAGGAGAATTCTGGCAGAGAAGGCGGCACGCCTTCCTCTCGGCTACGCGTCATTTTATGCGCATGAGGCCCTGCTCTAGGCATGGGGGGGGGGGGGGAGTGAGCGATGGAAGGCGATTGCGGCAGTGGTGATGGCGTCCCCTATCGCTCGCGACCTGCCAAGCAAAATCAGATGGGATGTGGAGAAGGAGAGGGTATTTTTCAACTGACACATACTGCGGGGTGAGAGTTGCCCTTTTGGGAGAAGGAAGGAGGACGGGTGCTTGCGTGACATCACCGTGGGGGACCTGGTGATGAAGTGGGTGGATGGCACCCGGAGTCCCAAATCGCCGGAGCAACTAGCGCGTTTGTTGGGCAGCAAAGAAGCGGCGGCGCTAGCAGCAGCTGTGTTTGAGGCAGTACCAGACGAATGGAAGGCTCGGGTCCTGAAAACGCTGGAGGCGAACGAGATTCAAGAAGCAACCAGGGTGGTTCGCACTGCGGGCCGCCGAGAACAACTGTGGTGGATAACTGGGGTGTGTGGCAACCTGTTAAGATGTGCAAGGATGCGGCGACGAGATGACGGAGCATCCTGGTTCGTGCCAGAGGGAGCGAGTACCTGCCTACTGTCAGTGTCGGCAGTCACGCCGCTTGCAATGGCGGGAGAGAAGGTGGCAGGGGAGCTGGGTGACCCTTGCGTAAGGCTGATGGGAACTGACCTCTGTATAGGAGACAGCGCCGCTTCCCTGATGCAGCTGAGAGCAGAGCTAGAGGAGGAACATGTGGGGCAGCACTCCCGTCAGGAGAAATGGGAGAGAGACTGGGGGAAGCGGATCAACTGGGAAAGGACAATTGCGCGCAGGGACTCGCATGTGATCCCCGCAAAGGCTCGGGATGTCCTGCTGCGCGCGCACTATTCCAACTTGCAAGTGGGGGACCGCTTGAGATTCCTAGGGGAGCGAGAGAAGTGCCCGCATTGTGGGGAGGCGGAGACAGTGGACCACGCGCTATTCTCCTGTCGTGTTATCCAGCCGGTGGTGCAAGCGTTGATCGGCGCCATCCGCTGGCTTAACCTGTCGAGGAAAGTGAAATCGCTCAGGGATCTGATGTTTCACCAGGGGGGCACATCCTTCGGTTTCCCGGAGCTGACGGTGTCAGCAATCACGTTTCACCAATCATGGGTGGCGCGCTCTCACGCGGTCTTCAGAGGAAAGGAACTCCGGTGCGGAAAGGTGATGCGGAGGATTGTGACTGCTTTCCGTTTGCATGCGCGGACCTACGAGGGCATCAAGAGGAAAAAGGCTTGGGCGAAAAAGCGACACGTGGCCAAGAAACACCTGGCGAGGGATGAGATCATGGCGCTGGAGAACGTTAGTACGCGATTAGGCAACAAGCTTATGTAGCGAGGGGATTTCATGTCCATCTGGACGGATAGGAGAGCTAGATTCAAGCCACCGTAGATATTGATGGGGGTGTGTTACGGGTGCAATGAATCAAGGGTAGTGAGTACAAAATGTGAGCGAAGGCATGAGCAAACATTTATGAGCGAAACACGCAAATGGTAACGCGGTGCGTGCGAGCTAGCTAGTGCTAGGCTGGCATCGAGACTCGGGCTAGTCCCAAAGCGTAGGCCGACAAGGCCAGGCCAGCGGTGCATGGTTAGGTGAAACAGTGCGCGCGAAGTTGGCAAAGCCCCGTTAGCAGTAACGGGCGAACAACAGCTGCTGCTGTACGTGATGTTGACGGTCGTGGTAAGGAATGTCGAGAAAATTCCTTACACTAACCCCCCCTTAAGAATCCCCCTCCGCTTCGCAAGTGCGTGTATATCACGGAAACCCCGACTCCTCATGTACACTTGCAAGGCAGGGTGGTTTTCAATGTTGGCCAGGGGCACCCAGCTATCCTCAGTTGGCGTGCGGTCCTTCTAGCAAACGAGGAACTCAATCCTCTTGATGTCTGTGGGTTGTCGAATCCGATGGCTCATATTATTTTCGGGCTCAATGATCGGCTCCGATGTAGGGCGAGTCATGGATGGCGGGTGGTGACGAGGCAATTGGCTCGTGGTTGGGATGTACGGGCGAAGTAGGCTGACATGGAATGATGGGCTGATGTACCAGTCTGTCGGCAACAGTAAGTGGGCGGTAACTGGGGTGATCATGTGGCTGATTTGGAATGGTCCACAGTAGCGCGGTCATAATTTCGGCACGACGGGCAGTCTTAAGTTCTGTGTGTCTAGCAGTACGTAATCTCCTGACTGGTACGTGACTGGGCGGCGGTGGCGGTCAGCGTTGCGTTTTGCGATGACGTTGGCTTTTTTAGTTGCTTCTGCGGCTCTTGTGCGGGCAGCTTGCAGAATCTCGGCGAATTGTTGTGCACATGGCGTTGGGTTGTCCGGACTTGGCGTCATGGGCACTGTTGGGTTTTGCCCATAGTTCAAGTAGAACGGAGACTGCTGCGTCGTTGCTGACGTGGCGTTGTTGTATGCGAACTCGATCAGCGGCAGCTGCTGCTCCCAAGTTGTGGGGTCGTCGCACGTGGCCCGGATCAACTGCTCCATCGTCTGATTGGTCCGCTCCGTTTGACCGTCGGTCTTGGGGTGGTACGATGAACTGAACTGTAGCCTGGTCCCAAACTGCTCCCAGAGGTTCTTCCAGAAGTTGCTGGTGAACTTTGTGTCGCGATCGCTAATTATCGCGGCTGGTATCCCGTGCAGTCGAACGACAGTTGCGATGAACAGGCGAGTGGTTTCTTCGGCTGAGATCGATTTCTTGCACGCAGCAAAGTGAGCCATTTTCGTCAGTCTGTCAACAACAACCATAACCGCATCATTACCTCCAGGGTTCAAAGGTAACCCTGTGACAAAATCCATGATAACCTGTTGCCAGGCGCGCTCGGGCGGTGGAATCGGCTGCAACTGACCCGCCCTTTTCTTTCGCGAGCTCTTCATCACCTCACACGTAGGACACGAACATACGTGGTGCTGTACGTCGGTCAACAGCTCCGGCCAGTAGTAGTACCGCTGCAGTTGCTGTCGCGTTTTTTCTACCCCAAAATGTCCCGAGGTAATTCCGTCGTATGCCTCCTACAGTAACAGCTCCCTCAGTAGTGAGTACGCGGGCACCCAGATGCGGTTGGTGCCTGTCTTCACGTAATAGACTCCCTTAGCTTGTGCCAGTTGCTGTGAACTTCCGGTCGTGAAAAATGGGTCGGTACTGTATCCGTGGGTGATTAGGCCTGTTAACAGCGGGTTGGTTTGGGCGAGTAGGATGGCGTGGAGTTGGGCGGTGGGGCGTGTGAGAGCGTCGGCGATGTTTGATGCACCTTTTTTGTATGTGACGGTGTATTGGAAGTTGGACTCCAGATAGTCCAACCAGCGGATCTGTTGCGGGTTGAGATTCGGTTGGGCGCGGAGGTACTGTAGTGATCGGTGGTCTGTCCGTACTGTCACGTCTGCTCCCGTGAGGTAACATCGCCACACCTTGAGCGCGTGCACGATCGCCAGCATCTCACGGTCGTGTATCGGGTAGTTGCGTTCGGGCGGGTGGAGCTTGCGGGAATCATACGCGATGGGCTGGAGGTGACTTCCGAAGTCCTGCAATAGTACTGCTCCCACGGTGATGTCACTTGCGTCGGTGACGAGCTCGAACGGACGGTGCGGATCTGCGATGTGAAGCACGGGCGGTGAGCACAAAATTTGTTTGAGGGCCGAGAAGGAAGCTTGCTCTTTCTCCCCCCACGTGTACTCAACCCCCTTCCTCAGCAGGTCGGTCAACGGAGCAGTCAACTTTGCCATGTCGGGGATGAACCGGCGCACGTAGTTGACGAACCCCAAAAAACTCTGCAGCTCAGTCAGATTTGTCGGCGCGTGCCAAGCTTGAATCGTCGCGATCTTCTTCGAGTCTATTTCCACTCCGTCAGTTTAGATAATGTGGCCTAAAAATTCCAGTCTGTCTTATAGAAACTCACACTTAGAGGCTTTTGTCATTAGGCGGTTCTCACTAAATATTTGTAAAACTGCTTCGATGTCCTGTAGGTGCTGTGCTCTGTCGGGGCTGTAAATCAGTATGTGATCTAAGTAGACGATGCCGCACTTATCAAAAAGCGGGCAGAAGGCTTCGTTCATTGTCATTTGAAAGGTGGCAAGGGCGTTGGTCAGTCTGAAAGGCATGACGGTGTATTCAAAGGATCCGTAGCGTGTTTGAAAAGCTGTTTTCGGGCAGTCGGGTGCGTTGACTCGGATCTGGTGGTGGCCTCCGCGAAGGTCAATTTTCGAGAAAACCCGGGCTGTGCGCAGGAATGGGGTAACAGGAATTGATGGTAACCCTTCAGTGCGCGATAGTCGATGCACATGCGGAAACCCCCGTCCTTCTTCGGTGTGAACAGTATCGGTGCTGCGAAGGGTGACGAACTCGGGTGAATGAACTCCTTCTCGAGTAGGTAATCCAGCTGCTTCCTCAGTTCGTCCAGTTCGGGTTGGGTTAGTTGGAACGGTCGCTGTATTGTCGGCTGTGCCCCCGGTTCTAACTCTATCTTGTGGTCGTGCGGTCGCTGAGGTGGCAGTCCTGGCTTCAGGTCGTCCGGGAATATCCCACTGTACTGCTTCAGGAGCGCTGCCAAGTCACCCGGTACGTCGGCTAACAGTTTCTGTAAATCCCCCCCTTTGTCTGTTGCCTCGGCTTCCCGAATGTCGACCGCGTACACGTCAGCTCCTGCCGCTACGGCACGTTTCATCGTGATTGCGTTGACACGCACCGACGAAGACTCAGGCGAGCCCCAGCGAGGTAAGGCGATGTTGTTACCGTTCACTCGCATGGTGCAGTCACCCGTCGTCCAGTCGATTCGCGGGTTGTGTCGTCGCAGCCAATCACGACTGAGTAAAATGTTGGTTCCGTTGAGGGTTGTCGCGAGCATTTCCTAGCTAAACGTGAAGTTACCCCCGCATCGAATCCGAACTCGGTCTACGCGTTCCCGTATCGCCAGTGGCGTGCCGTCAACCAATCTTGCGTCGATCTCAGGTGAACATCTGTCTAGTGGCAGTCTCAATTTCCGTGCTGTGGCGGTGTTGATCAGGCTGTGGCTGGCTCCCCTGTCGACAAATATT